AACACCCAAAAATAGATGGCTGAATCAAGATGTCGTGTATATATACAGCAGATACTATTTGACAATAAAAAAAAAAGAGAGAGAGAGAAATTCATACCATTCACAGCAACATGGATGGAGCTGGAAGGACTTATGCTCAGTGAAGTAAGTCAGAAGGAAAAAGAAAAATAATAGATGATTTCACTCAGAAGGAAATAATGTGTGGTTTTACCTATAGGAGGAATACAGGGAAACCAAACAAAGGGTCAGGAAAAAGAAAGACAAAACTAGCAGGTGTACTGTACTTCTAGATATACAGCAAGGGAGGGTGGGGTGAGGAGACAATGGGCAGGAAGAGCACAAGAGTCTGGTGATGTTCATGGGAAATGTGGGGTTTTATTGGGATTACATCTGAGGGAAGAAGTCACATGTACAGAAATGAACAATGTTGTAAGAAATACATATATTTAATGAAAAAAGATTTATAGTTGAGTCATAGTGTAACATAAGAAATGTGTTAAGGGGGCCCTCCCTGGTGGCGCAGTGGGTTAAAGCACAGCACTGTGAAGCTATCTGCAGCCACTGCAGCATGAGTTCAATCCCTGGCCAGGGAGCTGACCCACATGGCACAGCAGACCTGTCTCACTTGCTGCTCCCCTCAGCAGTGTATTTCCCTAGATCTGTGTGTTCTGCTCCCCTCTCTGGTGAATCTTCTCACCCCCACACCTCTGGCCTGTACCCCAGTTCTTGTATGAATAAATAATTTTTTTTTAAAAGGAAATGTGTTAAGGAGTAGAAAGTTTAAAAAATTGTCACTATTCAAGTTGATTTCCATGTAGAAATCCCCAAGGAATAAAAAAGTATTAATAAAGTTAATACTAAATAATGTTATTGAATAAACAATAAAGAATTGCAGGATTTTTTTTTCTTTCAAAACCTTACAGATATCATTTATTTTTTTTATTAAAAAGTTTATTTTTACATCATTTTAAGAATTGCAGGATTTTTAATGGTCTGCCAAAAGCTGGTGCTAAGACTTAGATAAACTAATAAAAGATAAAGAGCAAAAAAGATGACTTTTACCAGGTTAATTCACCAGGTTATAAGGTTTTTTTTGAAGCTGTAATAGCTAAGGCGGGATGAACATATGTGGATAGATACATAGACCAGTGTGACACAAGAGAGGGCTTAGAAACAGACCCTGGCTTATGTGGAAACCTGGTCCCTGTCAAGTGGTGCTGCCAGTGAGTGGCAAAGGAGAGATTTTTCGACTATTAGTGAAGGGTTGGTGGTGTATATGGAGAAAAAGTTGCAGTTGGATCTCTGTCTCACAGTAGACACAACTGGATAAAAGATTGAACTTGAAAAGCGAAACTAAAATGTTTAGGAGGAAAATGCAGACTATTTCCATGACAACAGGAAGAAAGGGTTTCTTAAGATGTAAAATACACAAGCCATGGAAAAAGTTTGGTTAATTTGGCTACATTAAAACTGTAAGCTTCTCAAAGATGGGTCAAACACTACACGACATACACTTCAGCGACATCTTTAAAGACAGAGCACCCAGCGCCACAATAGTGAAGGCAAAGATAAATAGA